TCTGGGACTAACTTTGGTGGTGACGTGGCGCACTCTTGTGGTATTATCAATTAACATGTAATATTTATAATAATATTACTTACTCAATCTAATTTTGCTGTAATATTTATTATTTACTTAATGGTGTAATGTGTATTGTGTATTACGAATTAAAATATTTTAATTCGTGGTGTATATTGTATATAATATATATATCCACCTTGTTTAATATATTATAAATATATTATATATTAGTTATATTCTTATATTATATGTGATTTGAAAAATAGTAATATCACGATGTGTAGAATAATAAAAAAAAACTGAGAAATAATATGTCTGGGGGGGGGGGTGCGGCCCCCGTCCCCCCCCCCCCCTGGATCCGTCCCTGCATATTATCAAATATTCAAATCTATTTTTACACTACAATCAATGACAAAATAAATGCAATATCTTTATTTTTATAATGTTTAATATTTAAAAAAATGTAATCCAAACTTTTGTCTTGTAGATAAAACTTCATATAATATAATAATGATAAATTATCAAGTATTGTAGAACTTGATATTTAATAGAACATAATATTATTGATAAAATAAATATTAAAAAACTCAACTCCTTGAGATCATATTAGGTATTTAAAACAGTTTCAAATTAAAAATATTGATAAAAATTCTCTTAATACTAAATAACATAATTTCAGACTTTTGGTTACATATTTTAAAACTAATATAAAAATGATAAATTACTAAGTATTATTGAAGTTAATAATTATTGATTTAACATAATATTATTAACTAAATAAATGTTAAAAATACTCAATTTCCTGAGATCATATTAGGTATTTAAAACAAACTTTAAATTAAAAATATAAATAACAATTCTCATAGTATTAAAAATAAAAAAAAACATAATTTTAGACTTCTGGTTGAATAAAAAAAAAATCTTATTATTATAAATTTATACTTTACCAGTTCTAGGTTTAAATGTTTTTGTGTGTGGCAAAGTATCATAGAATGAGTGAGTGTCTTTAGGTAAAAACATTTTAAGCTTCTGTAAGTCATTCCATTTTGATAAGTTGATTGGTGATTGGTAATGGTTTACTATATAGTTGTTTGTAATTTGCACTTGGGTCAATTTTGGGATTCCTTCTTAAAGGTAGTTCAACATAAGGGTCATCAAATACTAACTTTTGAAATATACGTTTATATATAGGGTTATACTGTAGAGCTCTTAAATCTTTAACTTCTGGGTCTCCTTTTTTTTCCAGGTCTAATAGTACTATAAACATTATGAGTTTTAAAGTCCAGGAAAAAATCAAAACTCAAAAGAGTTACACCAAAAGCTGTTAGATTTTTTCTTGCTTCTTTGGTTATTTTTATAAAATCTGATGGCAGATAAATATCTTGGCCTTTTAGCTTTCTTTCCATGTGACAATGTGCATTATCACATGGCATTTGTGTATGACCTTTTACCAGATACTTTTGTTCAATAATAATTCCATATTTTATTGAAAAATTAAGAAGTGCGTTGGCTATTACTGAGTTCCTATTTTGGTAACCGCAACCATCTGAGTTTAATATAATTGGTTTTTTATCATTCATGCAAAATTTTTCTAAATGTTTAAGAATTATTGTTACAAATATCGATGCTTTCAACTCACCCTCACCCTCATGCCACCAATAATTTTCACAGTGACCTGTGCCATTATTATACAATGTCATATTATGTACCTTTAGTTTCATTGAATAATACAGAGCACTGTTTTGTAGATATGGACATAATTTTACAGCCTGGCAATCCATTGTATATAAGTAGCATTTATTTTCTTTGGCTAATTGGGTGTCATTTTTTAATTCTTCCCTGGCTCTATTTTTATGTGCAATGTGCTCAGCAAAGTCATCTTCCTCAACTTGTCCCATGTCATATGATGAACAAAAATCGCATTTGTCTTTTCTTGGCATAAATATGGAGAACTTTTTTTCTTTCATAAATTTGTAAAAATAATAACTACTTAATGGAATTATATTATCATCAACACATTTGGATTTGTACAGTTCAAAAACTTCTGATTTATGCATAAACGGACCTTCCAAATAAAGCCTATTAGTTTGTTTTCGGCAATAATGGGAAGGCATTTTTGCTAGACTAGAAAACCATTTTTGTAAGTGTTCAATTCTTTTTGATAGAGCAATTTTTTTAGGTGTTATGTTATCAGTATTACTGTCATTATGGTGTTTTGTCTTTTTCCCAACTATTTTAAACATCAAGATTTTGAGGAGCCTATGGAAGTTTGTAAAAAAATGTTTTTAAATACTCTTGATATGAATGATTGGATGTTGCACAACTGGATAAAAGAAGTAACTCATGGACTAGCTCGTGGACAATCTTTTATGTAATTTTTGTTCTTTGTTTGATACATCTTTGTATAACTCTTCAGTACGATTTATTGTATTAGCTATTTTCTTCACAACTGTTTTTACTACTGTTGTTTGTGTTTTCATTATATGTAAAATATTATTTCCTGTTTCTTCTGTTTTTTGAATTGCTTCCCTAGTTTTCTTAACACATTTGTTATCACACACACCAAATAACGTATACATAACATTACCTATGTTGCGTGCCAATATCAGATCCAGATCCAAGGTGTTATTAAAATGAATTGTACAACTTTTAATTACAATAATGTTTAATCTGTATAAATAAAATACATGTAACTGATATAAGAAGTGGCTGAGTGTCGTGAAGTTGCTCTGTTCTTCGTAGCTCTGGTACATCTCCCTTGTTGGTCTTCGAACTCCCTTATATACAAGAAAATCTCTTGTTGTTGTAATCGTCAATCTTCCAATTTAGATTAATTCTTGGAATTGTTTTCACATTTGAAACAACAATCTCCAGGATGTTATCGTCTTACTGGCAATTCTTGTAAACGCAAAACGACCTCGCCTAAGAACTACTATTTTGATTTATTACAATATTTTTACAAAATATGAATCTAATATTCGTATACATTATAATTATTAGATCACATATATATTTAGATCACTATTGCTAACACCTATAGCAATATTACACATTGTATTACATATTAGCATATCTCGTAGCTCATGAATATTATATTATATTATATTTATATTATTAGTACATCTCGTAGCCCATAACACCTCCCCACAAAAAAAAAGGTTTATGTCTGCAAGACAGAAATCTTTACAATTTTTATATGTATCAGTTACACTTCATTTACATCAATTGCTTAATAATAAATATGTTAGTAACATAAAATTTAAATCAATTAATTATATAATAAAATTTGTTAGTATATTCCTTTATAAAAAATCCTTCATCTCAATAATTATTACATAAATAAATCTGTGAACAATTAATGTTATTACACATGTATGTTACATTTAATAATTTTGTATTTTCCTAAATAATAACTGAATATCCCAATTTCCATTTAATAACTATATTTATATATATATTTTTTTTTCTAAAATTTAATATTTACCATATACACGTATATTAATAATTATTCTTCAAAAAATGTCACTCTAACTATTCATTTATATTATTATTAATTATATTTCCTCAATATCTCTCATTAATTAATATATTATAAAATATTATTTTCCTCAAAATCAATGTCTTTCACCTTTATTAACTATTATACTATTAACTATTATTAATTATTATCTCTTCTTTTTTTTTTTTTTAATTAATTATTAATTAATATCTCTTAAAAAAAATGTCACTCTAACTCTTATTTTTTTTTTTTTTTTTTAACGTGGTGATGGTGGAGCAGCAAATGGTATATCTTCGAAAACTTCCGTACTATAATTTCCTTTCCTCATTGGTTTCCTATATCTAACTATTCTCCTAGGCTCTATGATATGATGATTGCTAACATACCTACATTTTATTAGTATATACATAGCTAATATTAATATCATACATAATATAGCTAAACCTACTGTAGCATATAATAAATTTGAATGAATAAATTAATGTTTTTGTGCTTGTTCTCTTATTATCTCATTATCGATCATTTGTTGTACCTCATTGAGTGATTTAGATACACCATGTAGATCTGTTAATTGTATATCTTTTTCGTTATCCCATTTCTCATTTATTGTATAGTTATGTATGTGCTCAGGTATCTTGTCTAATAAATTTTTAATTTTAGTTACAGGTACAAAATCTTTGTATTTTCTACCTATATCTTCTTCTATTGCATTTAATACTACATCTCTTGTAAATATTCGACAACTTGTATCTATTATAGATATTTCTCCTGAGTTTTTCATTTCTTGAATAAACGGTTCTATTAAATCATCACATCCTACTGTTAAAACATCGTGTCCTACATGTATCCATGTATTTTTCTTGTTAAGCCTATGATATATATTTTCACTCAGTGTAAATTTTTTAAGTATACATTAATTCGGTATTGTATCCGCTCCTTTGAATAATTGTACTTCACATGGTTGATGACTATTAGCTTCTTGTATTGGCTGTGGTAATTTACATATTTTATACATATTTAATTCTGTACAATCACTTATTTGTTTATCTAAATAAGTAGTAAATTTTTTCCTATCTTTTGTTATTGCAATATATTCGTACGTAAGTGAAGTGATATACCATCCAACTATCGTTTTTTCCATACGATACATAGGTATAGGTATTACATTAAACAATGTAAATTCAATATCCATAATTAATGGTATTTTTGTAATAAACACTAATCTGTCGTTTTCATAATATACACTCATTTTTGCTATTTTTGAAAATTCACCTATTTCTGGTGGTTTTACCTAACCTAACCCTAGCCGCCGCGACTGTCGCGGTCACACTGTTTTTACGTAATTCCTATGGACTGGTGTCCAATGAGGGATTGCGGCTTTGCGACTATGAATGGGCCGCTGCGGCCCGCGGCTCTACTCAGTCGAAAGCAGTGTACAGCGACAGTCGCTAGCGGCTTTTGCTATTTGTATTGACTATTTTATATTATTTTAAATACCATGGCCGAATCACAAAACATTTCCAAAGTTGTCTTTATGCCTGATCAAGAAGAAAAGTTAATAGAAGAAGTACGAAATAATCCTGAACTGTATGATTTGTCCAAACCTAGCCACAAGGATATAATTTTGAAGGATGATATCTGGAAAAATATTTCTTTAAAAGTTGGAAGATCTGGTAAGTATTTTTGAATAATTTAAATAATCCAGTATTTTATAATCAACATAGGTACTATATAAAATAGTTACAATATAAAACAGTTCACATAAATTTATACTTGACGTCTTGACCAAATATGCGTAATTTCTAGGGCTTGTATTTGTATATACAATAGTAAATAAATGTAACAGTAAAGTAAATGTAACTTATTTTTGCTGTGACTTGATTAATTAATTTAGGCTAGTGATAAATTCGTTTCAAGTGATTTGCAATCAAATTAGCAATTTTATTATAATGTCAAATAATACAAACAATTATTTATGAAATCTGAATAGTGGAAAAATACACTCTGAATAAACCGTGAACAGTGAACACAACAAAGTTTCTATTTCTGTGTAGAAGCATGTTGAGTTAATTTCAGAAATATTTATAAATAATATCGCAAAAAGAAATCTAAAAATAATTTTAATAAAATGTCAATATAAAATATGCCTAATTTATTTCTTTATCTATATACCAGTTGACGATTGCAAGAGGCGATGGAAAAACATAAAAGACACTTATAATCGGAACAAAAGAAAGTTAGGAACAGGATCTGCTGCATCATCAAAAAAAAAAATGGATTTTGGCCGATCGCGTATCATTTTTAAACTCTGTGGACAATGAGCGAAAGTAAATAGCTATTTTTAAAAATATGTTTTACTTAAATATGCAACTATAATAGTTTCATTAATATTTTTAGTTCTACATCTAACATTGATACGCCACTAGATGAAGATGTAAGTGTTGGTACTGATGACGAGATTGATGTTGACGATTCAAATAAAGACGACAATGTTGAATTACCAACGTGTTCATTTGCGGGTAATCGTGTAAGATCAAAATCGGATAAGCTGGCAGCGATTTTAGCAAAAAAAACTGAAGATCGAAACATTATTATTCAAAGTTTTCAACGACAAAACGAACAACTTTTAAACGCAAATAAAAATCAAGAAGATGACACTCATTTATTTTATAAAAGCATAGCTATAACTGTAAAAAAATTACCGACAAAAGGCATTAATGAAGCTAAAATGAAAACACTTATGTTAGTCAATGAACTTCAAGAAAGATATGCTAATCCTCCTCAAATTACTACGCCTAGTTTTTTTTCCGATTCAAAACTTCCAACAAAACCAACAACATTACTACGGAGTTTCTAATCCACAAAACATATCGCCGATTTCATACTCTGACTCAGACCGTTCTCAAACTTCATCGTCTGCCATTTCATACCCTACATCGATCAACCCACAAACCATCGCACCATCGCACATGACATTCTCGCCTACAAACGACTTTGAAAGTACATCTTCACCGGCATACTTCAATAATTCTAATTAAATTCAGGATAGATTGCAGGTTAAATTGATTAAATTTATATCTATCTTTATAATAGGTACTTATAATATTTTAATAAAAAGACTGTTTCGTTTGTTACTTAATAATTTAAAATTTTTATCTCTATCATTTTTTTTATATAATAATTCATAATAATTAATAATAATAAAAAAAATAGAACAAAAAATAATAATGTACAAATTTGTCAACTTATTTCTATAGTATAGTGTTGCATAATCATAAAATAAAATTATTAAGAAAAATCTAAACTGTTTTGTTTTTGTTATAGTATTTAATTAACATGATATGACAATAGTTTAATACATAAATACATTGTATTATTATAACTACCTACCTAATTACAAATATTAGTTTAGTATATTAAGAAAATGTATAAGTAAGTGTAAAATGTATATAAATTATCTCTGCCACGATACTGATCCTTCATTATTAAAAAATGTTTTAAATCGTTCTCTCACCTCGAATCCGTTTGCCTGTAAAAATCCACCTCCTCTACGTATAGGTAACATGCTGTTGGAAGGTAAGTCTTGGTCATGGTCATATTCGTAGTATGGGTGTTTGTTATTTTCCAAATAACCATCCCTTAACATGTTATGTAACATACAAGCTACCCATATCAAATCGTCAGAAGTCGAGGTTTCAAGATTAATGGGTTGATAAAAAACACGAAAAACTTGGCTTAGCAAACCAAACGCGTTTTCGGTCACACGTCTAGCTCGGCTAAGTCTATAATTGAATACCGTTTTTGTAGTATCGTCTCTGCTTGATTTTCTCGAGTAGGGTTTCATTATATGCGTGTGTAGACGAAAAGCTTCATCCCCAACGATTACATGCGGGACAATTATATCAGAACCTGGAAGAGAACATTCCTCAGGAAAACTAAATGAACTATTTAAAATCTGTTGGCCCATAATGGATTTTAGAAAAATACCACTGTCTCCTTCTTTCCCATATGAGCCTATATCCACCACGACAAATTTGCAGTTAGCATCGACCATTACCAACAAAACGACAGAAAAAAAATCTTTATAGTTATGAAATAATGACCCCGAATTATCCGGACTCCGAACTCTAATATGCTTGCCATCAATGGCCAGAATGCAATTGGGAAAGTTCCACTTGTAACAAAATTCATTAGCTTTCTTTTTGAAGTCAACTTCACTTGGATCTGGTAAAAATATAGGTTTTAATTTTTTTTTCAAAATCAGTAACGTTTCCTTCACAATTCTGCTGATATATGTATGACATATTCGAAAACTAAACGATAACGAACGAAATTACTCACCGGTAGCCATGTACCTGTTAAAAAAATTTTTTCAGTGTATTATGTGTATAATATTACAAATTAAATGAGAATGATCTAAACATGTAGTTCTAAAGTTTTGTTATTAGAAGCATTATGTAGGTATACAATATACATTATAGTTACCGCAGTGTCAGTGATAGTTTTTCTGCTGCTGTAATCGGTTTTTTCACTCTGTTGCTGTGTGGCTTAGTTAGTTCAAACTTAACTAGGGATAATAAATAATCAAACTGTTGACGATTGACCCGAAAAAACTCACGAAATTTTGGTTCATTATTTAATAAATGTCTCTCAATTAAAATTTCAAAAAAACCTTCATTTGAACGACTTTGATATAAAATGTCAACTTTCTTTTTTTTTGCATTCAAGTAGGAAAATAATAATTTTTCTTCCTCTTCTTCCTCCTCCAAAAAAAGCTGCACAATTTTATTGTTATTCACGATGTACGTATTGACCATATTGAATAATATTACAAACACCACACAGAATAAATAGGTCTCTACACTACGAGCTCTAAAACCACACTATTTTGACGAGCCGCAGCGACCAGTCGCCGGTGTTGAACAACAGGCAGACATCGGCGGCTGATCACCCCAGTAGTCGCAGCAGTAGCCGCGGCGGCTGGCCGCTGCGGCTAGCCGCGCCTTGGACACCGTACCTTAAAGGTACGGTTTCCTAGACGCGACCGGTCGCCGAGACAGGTCGCCGTCCGACTGTTAATATGTAATTCCTATTATCTGGTTTCCAACGCACGACTGTTGTCGCGCGACTGAACTTTATCGTGGCGACCGGCGACACTACAGGTACGGTGTCCAATGCGCGACCGGTCGCCGCGACCAGTTATAATTTTCAGTCGCTGATGACCGACTGGTGTCCAATGCGCGACCGATCGTAGTTAAAAGGTAGGTACTCGATTCTAAATTTCGTCAGTAGCACGCCGATGTCTATCTAAAGGTACGGTTTCCAAGGCGCGGCTGGTCGCGGCAGCCGATCGCAGCGACCAGCCGCGGCGACCGGCCGCTGCGATCTGACTGGTTTCCTAGGCATACATATATTGCCGCAGCTCTAAATATATTTTCTTTATTTTGTCAGTAATACTTTGCATTTTGTAAAGTAGAGACGTCGTCATCAGTATAAAGTGTTTTAATCATACAATTTCAGTATGTCTGAAGTAATGTGCGTTGTGAATAATAACAAAATTATATTAGATTTACTTGAAGAAGAAGAGGAAGAAGATCAGTTATTATTTTCTTATTTACTTCCAAATAAAAGGAAATCGACCAACATTTTATTTAAAAACCGCGAGTTTGAAGGTTTTTTTGAAATATTGATCAATAGGCATTTATTAGAAAATGAAACTAAGTTTCGAGAGTTTTTCCGTATCAACTACGAACAGTTTAATTTTATATTATCTTTAGTTGAATTTGAACTTACAAAAGAACCTTCGAATAGAGTAAAAAATCCCATTTCTGCTGCAGAAAAATTAGCAATTACCTTGAGGTATGTATAAATCTGTTTAAAGTTATGTTTGAATGCAAGTAATTAAATATTATTTTTGTTAAAACTACGTAGTATGTTTTTTCTTAATTTCTATAGATATATGGCTACTGGTGAATCGTTTCGTTCGTTGTCTTTTGGGTTTCGAGTTAGTCATAGCTACATAAGTATAATTATTAAACAAACATTGACCGTTTTAAAATCAAAATTGGTTCCAATTTTTATGCCTAATCCGAATACTATCGATTTCAAAACAAAAGCTGCAGAATTCAGTTGCAAATGGAATTTCCCTAACTGTATTCTTGCAATTGATGGCAAACACATACGTATACGTAGTCCAAGCAATTCTGGTTCTCTGTTTCACAACTATAAAGATTTTTTTTCCATTGTTTTACTTGCTATGGTTGATGCGAACTATAAATTCATAGTGGTTGACATAGGTTCCTACGGAAAAGAAGGCGATAGTGGAATTTTCCTAAAGTCTATAATGGGTAAGCAAGTATTGGATGGATCCTTTTGTTTTCCAGAAGATAGTGTATTACCTGGATCTGACATAGTCGTACCACATGTGATTGTTGGTGATGAGGCTTTCAGACTGCACAACCATATTATGAAGCCATATACAAGAAAAGCGAGTAAAAACGATATAACAAAAAAAATATTTAACTATAGACTCAGTCGAGCAAGACGAGTAACGGAAAACGCTTTTGGTTTATTAAGTCAAATTTTCAGGGTGTTTTACCAGCCAGTTAATATAGAAACATCAACCTGTGATAATCTGACTTGGGTAGCTTGTTGTCTACATAACATGTTGAGAGAAGGTTACTTAGAAAAAAACCACCGGACTTTCTATGATTATGATAAAGACCAATCGACACCAGTGGATAATATGTTATCATTATCTAGAGGTGGAGGATTTTCCAATATTGAAGGTTTCGAAGTAAGAGAACTTTTTAAAACCTACTTTAACCGTGAAGGATCAATACCATGGCAATTTTAATTACATTTATATTATTATTTTATTTGTATAAATACCAAAAATTTTGTTTGTACAATTAGGTTATTTTTAATTATTACATTTAAGTTAAGAGTTTTTTTTGTTTATATACATTTTTACACACATTTTTATTGTAAAAAAATTAAAAAACATATCAATTCCAAAAAAAAAAAAATGTTTTACTTTTGCTTAAATCGTAATATTTTGTACAAGCATATAAATAAAAAATAAAATAAAATAAATAACAGGGTACTAAATAAACGGTTATTTTACAATTATTAATTAAACATAAATGCTTTGAAAACTTACTATTCAAAATTATAAGTCGTGTAGCCTTGAGAACTGTCCGATGCTGTATATGATGAGCTTGGTGTAGATGGCTGAATATAGTTGTCATCAAATACGTGCAATTGTTGAGTTGGATATGTTATGGCATGTTGCTGTGGTGTAGTACAGTAAGAATACTTTTCCTCGAGTTCACTCACCATTGTTAATGCTTTTAATTTTGCCTCAATTATACCTTTAGGTGGTAATTTTTTTACGGTCATTGCTAAGCTTTTAAAAAATAAATCTACTTCATCTTCGCTGTTTTTGGCATTTAAAATGTCTTCGTTTTGTTTTTGAATTTTTTCTAATAATTGTTTACGCTCTGCCGTTCTTTTTGCCAACATCACCGCCATTTTATCTTTATTTGACCTTATACGCTGTCCAGCATCGAGAATCCTTCATTCGTGTTTGCAGTTTTTTCTTCTTGTATAGCTTCAATTGATTCTTCATCTTCTTCATGTGAAAAACTTTCATCTATCATGGTCGCATTCGAAGAAGAACTAAATATTAAATATTTAAAATTAACAAATTATTGCTATATTTGTATATTATATATTTTTATTTCTATTATTGTTATTAAATGTATATAATAAATACCTTCGTTCACACTCTACTCCATCAAGAAACGAAATATGTGCTGCCAAAGGCCATTTTTTTTTCGATGTTCTAGCTGAACCTGTGCCCAATTTACGTTTGTTTCGGTTGTACGTATCCCTTATGTTTTTCCACCGTTTTTTACATTCATCTCCTATTATATAAATATGTATACTTTATAATTTTATTTACATAAATTTGTACAACATTTGTCAGCATATCTTTTAAATTTAGTATTAATGTTGTGTTATCTTTTGATAATCTCGCTTCTATACACACCAAGTATAAATAAATACAGTCAATAGATAGACAGTGTTTATTTTTAAATCAAACATTCTGTAGATGGTTTATAAAACTATTATTTTTATAAAATAATAGAACTATAATAAAATAATTTAAGTTACTTACCAGATTTACCAATTTTCAAGCCAATATCTTTCCAAATCTCATCTTTCAGAATTATATCTTTGTGCTTTGAATCAGCGCTGTCGTATAAAATCGGATTTTTCCGAACGGATTCAATAAGAATTTCCTCGTGTTCCGGCAAAAATATTACTTTCGACATTATAAATATTTTATACTTTTAATGCTAGTTAATAATATCACAGCTATATATTTATAATATTTGAAAATACTTTGAATACTAGACAAACTAGACAACAACAAAGTATTAAAATTATTTAATGAAAACTAAATTTTTGATAATAGCCGCCAGCGACTGTCGCGATACACTGCTTTCGTCGCGGTCAAGTCACCGGCCGTCGCGGCTCAAGTTCAGTCGCGAGCCGCAGCCGCGCTTTGGAAACCAGTCAATAGGGATAACGTGTAAATATTTTTGCTGCGACAGCCGCGGCGATCGGCCGCCGCGACCAGCCGCGCCTTGGAAACCGTACCTTAAGGTTGACGTAAAACGGTACCAACATGTCCGATAATGAGTTGCTGTGTATTTTGAATAATAATAAATTAATTATAAACTTAATAGAAGATGAATTGGAAGATAATGAAATATTATTTTCGTATTTGTTGCCTAAAAAAAAGGAAACCAATTGATTCCTTATTTTTAAACCACGATTCTGAAGGATATTTTAAAATCCTAATAAATAGACATTTGTTCGAAAATGACGTCAAATTTCGAGAATTTTTTCGCATTAGTCGCCAACAATTCGATTTTTTGTTATCGTTAGTTGAATTGGAACTTACAAAATTACCTTCAAGGAGAGTAAAAGACCCCATTTCTGCAGCGGAAAAATTGGCAGTTACCTTGAGGTATGTGTTCAAACTACTATAATGGTTTTAGATATAAAATTTAATAGTACATAATTTTAAATAAATTTGTTTTATTTATGTAGGTATATGGGTGAATCATTACGATCTTTATCGTTTGGTTTTCGAATTTGTCACACCTACATAAGTAGAATTCTTAAAAAAACTTTGGCTGTATTGAAAGCAAAATTAATACCAATATTTTTGAAAGACCCGAAAAACGTAGATTTTAAAGGCAAAGCTGCAGAATTTAGTTGTAAATGGAATTTTCCAAATTGTATTCTGGCAATCGATGGGAAACATATACGTATACGTAGTCCAAAAAATTTGGGAAGTTTATTTCATAATTACAAGGATTTCTTTTCCATTGTGTTATTGGCAATGGTTGATGCAAACTATAAATTTATAGTAGTAGATATAGGTTCTTATGGAAAGGAAGGTGACAGTGGCATTTTCCTAAAATCAACTATGGGCAAACAAATTCTGAACGGATCATTTGGTTTTCCGGAAGATTCTACACTACCTGGGTCTAGCATAGTCGTACCCCACGTGATTGTTGGTGATGAAGCGTTCAGGTTGCATAAACATATAATGAAGCCATATACAAAGAAAGCTGGTAGAGACGATGTAACAACAACCATTTTCAATTATAGACTAAGTCGAGCAAGAAGAGTCACTGAAAATGCTTTTGGTTTATTGAGCCAAGTTTTTAGAGGGTTTTATCAGCCGATAAATTTAGATACATCAACTTGTGAAGATCTTATTTGGGTTGCGTGTTGCTTGCACAATATGTTGAGAACTGGTTACATGGAAAAAAATAATCACCCATTTTACGACTACGAAGATGAACAATCAACACCAACAAATAACATGTTACCATTATCAAGAGGAGGTGGATTTATCAACATTGAAGGTTTTGATGTAAGAGAGCGTTTCAAGTCATACTTCAATAATGAAGGCTCTGTACCATGGCAATTTTGTAAATAATTAAATACTTTTAAATATTTTATAATAATAACATTTTATTAAAATACTTTTTAAAATTATAAATAACACTGTACCTTTTAGTATATATTTTTAAGCATAACAAAAATATTTGTATTATATCTTAGTGATTACAAATATAATTTTAAAAAAAATATCTGTTTTTGAATGAAATAAAATAATAACCTTCAATCTTGAACACTATAGTAATAACAAATCTATTCATATAATATATTTTCATCAAAATTGTATGTTGTAAAACCTTGTGAGCTTTCAGATGTACCGTATGTTGAAGTTGATGCATTTGAAGGTGACATTTGTATGGAGTTTTCATTTGGTTGATTAAAATATCCTTGAGCTGTAAAATTTCTTGTTGGTTGTGCAGCATATTTTTCTTCAGCTTCAGCCACCAATGCTAATGTTTTCATTTTTACTTCGTTGATACCTTTAGTAGGTAACTTCTTTACAGTCATGGCCAAACTTTTGAAAAATAAATCTATATCATCACCCTCATTCATTTTTCTATTTAAAATTGTCTCATTTTGAGACTGGATAGCTGCTATTAACTTTTTTTGTTCTTCATTTCTTGTTGCAAGGAGGACTGCCAACTTGTCCTGCTTCGATCTTATACGTTGTGGACTATCTTTGGTTTTTTCGGTTTCTTCTGTTATTCCTCCGTCAAACTCATCCCCTATTCCTCTGTCAAGTTCTCCTTCTTCATGTAGTACTGTTGCACTTTCAGTTACACTTATATTTGATGAAGAACTAAATACAAAAAAATATATACAAATATATACAATTTATTAAGTATTGTATTAAAATGTATAAAAGCCTAATTAGTAATCACCTTCGTTCGTGTTGAACTTTATCTAGAAAAGATACGTGTGCTGCCAAAGGCCACTTTTTTTTTAGCGATCTTTCAGAACCCGTACCCAATTTTCTTTTATTACGATTGTAAGAATCTCTGATATTTTTCCAACGCTTTTTGCAATCTTCGACTATACAATTTTAATATACAATAATTATTCGTTTTATATTGTACAGGAATAACCAAAATAATACAAAAAACATACACCATGTATAAAACAAACATATAATAATAATTTTAAACTATGTAATACGTTTTCTTTATCAGCTGCCATTGACACTCGAGTCGGCCGATCACAATAAAATATAAATATACGAGTACATATTGGTATAATAATAGAAAATGGTTAATAACATAACTATAAATAAATGTGGTTAAGTTTACGCCACTGTGTTTATCACATCTCATCACCAGTCAAAATAGTGAATTGTCAATGTATTTATATATTTGTCGACACCGGCGACCAGGGCAATGTTATACATGTTTGACAACCCGTCGTGGCGTTGAACGTGTTAAACATAATTATTATTAAATATATTGTATAAAATTATATAATTAATATCATATAAAAATATAAATATTATCATTATTAAGTATAAATTGTTTATTGTATTTGTTGTACACAGATTGTAAATAGGTAGTCGTTATTCTTATTTAAATAAAAAAAAATATTAACTACTTACCAGACTTTCCAATTTTTTGGGAAATTTCTTTCCATTTTGCATCTTTAACTATTAAATTAAAATATTGCATGTGTGAACAGTCATAAAGCTCTGGATATTTACGCACGGATTCAATAAAAAGTTCATCTTCTTGTGATGTAAATGCTATAGCCGACATATTGACCGGGAGAACGAATCGTCGACGCGTCGCGCTACACTGCTCTCGTCGCGGTATTGTCGCGGGTCGCGACGGCAAATTATCTGTCGCGCGTTGCAGTCGCGGGTAGGACACCAGTCAATGGGAAACGCGAATAATCGGTAGAGCGCGACCTGTCGCCGCGACCGGTCGCGGCGACAGATCGCGCATTGGACACCGTACCTTACCGGTCCGAGAGCAGTGTATTGCGACCGATGCGCGCGACCGTCGATTTTTTTTAGTCACAAACCAACTTTTGGGTAGTGAATTTCGATCATCACGTGCACGAATATGGCTAAATTGCATTTTTCGGGAGAAGAAGAAGAACAACTGATCGAATTGGTTCGAAAAAATGTTGAGTTGTTTGATCTGTCACACAACAAATATAAAGATGCAGAACATAAAGATAGTATTTGGTTAGATATTGCTAACACCATCGGGAAATCTGGTATGTAATATTTATCTATAACATAATAATTATATAATCTAGTAATAAGATTAATTTAATACAATACAATGGCGTAGATACAAAATAACTGAATTTTATTTAATATTTTTGTAGTTTGTATTTTAGAAAAATGTTGTGAATCACTGTCTATAGTAAAGTTGTATTATTGCTACGGACTAAGATATGTAATATAATATAATATATTGTGGTTTATGGTAATAAATAATCACTCACAATTTATAAAATATTAAGCACTATATTACTGTGATATGTATGTACAAGAATGAAATATAACAAATACTAATTACGCGTACAATATTACTGCGAACTGAACAACACAGTAAGTCGCGATACATGGTCACTGACGGAATGAAAATTGAGCATCTGATCAGCTGGTATTTATAGGCTCCGCTTTGTTCTAGAACATCCCCGAATATACTCTAGCGAGACCATCGTGGAATATTCTAGAACATGGGTTTTTCCTATTGTACGCTGTCGACATCGTAAATAATTTGGGCGGCTCGTTGTGTATTGTTCACATCGCCACAATATGTATAAATAGTATATTTTAGTCATTTCAATGACTGAACCGATAAGATAAAATACCATGGGTTATCTATATATATATAATATATAGTAATAATATAGAACCGACACGTGCACAATTTTAATATCTTATCTTAAGTCTGTATAGTATCCAACTAACTTATTATTATTATAATTATTATGTAGTATTTTATATTATTTTAGTTGACGACTGCAAAAAAAAATGGAAGTATATACGCGATTCACACAATCGCTGCAAAAGAAAACTCGGCACCGGGTCTGCAACTTCAGCAAAAAAATGTTTACCTTCAGCAGATCGTGCATCTTTTCTAAATACAGTTCAAAACGAACGGAGGTATCTATACAAAATTTTTTTCAATAAAATTTATCAAAAGCATATATTATACCTAATAATATTAATATTAATAATAATAATAAATATTTTCATTAGTTCTACTTGCAACATCATACCACAGAGCGAGGAAGACAATGTCGAAGAAGATGTGGTCATTGATGGAGATTTTGGCGTTTTACCACTCCAGGATAAAGATTCCCCTGGATGTTCCCTATTAGATAAGCGTGCACGGTCTAAAGTAGACAAGCTATCAGCGTTAGTGACAAAAAGGGCAGAAGAAAGAAACAGGACATTTAAACGAATTGAAGAACAAAATCAACTAATCTTAAATGCAGAAAAACACAAAGATGATGATATCGATTTATTTTTTAAAAGTTTGGCATTAAGTGTTAAAAAACTGCCACAGGCAGCCATAAAAGAAGCCAAACTAAAGGCATTAATTATGGTTAACGAACTTGAGGACAAATATAGTGCAATTTCAGCAACACCTTCAAGTACTTTTTTGCCTATTCAAACTTACAATAACTATGAATATTCTAGTACTAGTTCACCATCATCAATTGCATACGGTATGCCAGATTATCAAAGTACGACCTCACCAGATTTATTTCAACCACAAGCAACAGTTTCCACTTCTTTTTTCATGTCAAGCGACTTAGGAATACAAAATGACGTACAACTTCACAATGAGTAACATAAAAAATAATTATTAAAATAATTAATTTAAATGATAATAAAATAATTAATAATGTAATATTAAAGTCATGATGTAATAATAATAATTTAATAATTAGAAAAAACACAACTTTGTAAAATTAATAAATTGTTAATAAAATAATATACAAGTTCATTGAAATCATAATCAAATAATAGTATTAGTAAATAATAAATTTAAAATATTGTGTTGTTCTGCCAATTTAATGCTCCTTCATGGTTGAAAAAATGTTTAAATCGATCCCTCACTTCAAATCCTTGCATATTAAAAAATCCTCCTACTCGATTTAATTCCAGCATGTTGCCCGTTGGCAAAGTTTGTTCACAGTCATATTCGTAATGCGGCTGTCTGTTGTCTTCTAAATATCCATCCCTTAACATGATGTGTAAACAACAAGCTACCCATATTAAGTTGTCACATGTTGTACTTTCAATATTAATTGGTTGGTAAAAAACACGGAATACTTGGCTCAATAAACCAAATGCGTTTTCAGTGACACGCCTTGCTCTACTTAATCTATAATTAAATATTTTTTTAGAGGCATCTCCCATACTAGATTTTCTAGAATATGGCTTCATTATATTTGGGTGCAAGCGAAATGCTTCATCTCCAATAATAACGTGAGGCACAACAATGTTTGAACCTGGAAGTGAACTTTCTTCAGGGAATCTAAATGATCCATTTAAAATTTGTTGACCAATAAGAGATTTAAGAAAAATGCTACTATCGCCTTCTTTCCCATAAGAGCCAATATCAACAATGACGAATTTATAATTTGCATCAACCATTGCCAAGAGACCGATTGAAAAAAAATCTTTATAATTAAAGTATAGAGACCCCGAATTGTGTGGACTTCGAATACGTACGTGTTTACCATCAATGGCAAGTATGCAATTAGGAAAGTTCCACTTGTAGGAAAATTCATCAGCCTTTTTTTTAAAATCAATTTGAGATGAATCCGGTAAGAAAACTGGAACTAACTTTTCTTTTAAAACTGACAAGGTCTGCTTTATTATTATACTGATGTAGCTATGACATAACTCGAAAACCAAAGGCCAGTGATCGAAACGATTCCCCAGTTGCCATGTACCTACAAAATAAAAAATAAAAATATGGTGATACATCCAGTTTTTAGTGTAGTTAAAATAAATGTGATAAGTGTAAATAAAAATACAATAAATATCTAAATACTATTAAAATACCTTAATGTCAA